GATTCTTTGTATCCCACCAGATGTATCTCCAATTCAGGGGCAGCAATTTGTCTTATGATCTCAATTCTCTGATAAGGATTTTCAGTTTGTTCAGCTATTTGACTTGCTGTTAAGATAGCACCATAACCTTCAAGGTCTTTATGTGCCAGAAAGAAGGCCTATAGCTGTTGTTAAAATCTTAAACAATATAGAATATCCTAAGCAGAAAATCAAAGTTCCTACAAAAATATAACCACTATCAACAGCCTGGTAAATATTCTCTTGAATCTTTTTCTAAGCATATAGAAACATGCAGGTATATTTTTACAAATTATACTTTTTACAACAGTGTCCATTACACATTGCTCTTTCACAGAATATCACTGGTGATATATTCTAACATCACCACTAAAATAGATAAGGGTCTAATATTCTTTTACTGCTAAATAACTTTCCTTTATTTAGCTTTGCTTTATCTTATTTAACCAATCTCCTACTGAAGGATTTAAAGTTATTTTAAATATGCCATTTTTCTATCACAAATAACATCACTGAACATTCTTTTACATATACCTCTGCCTATTTGTGCATTTACATAGAATAATTTTCCATAGGTAGAACCACTGAGTTAGTGATTATATACATTTTAATTTTTAATACTCATTACCAAACTGTTCACAAACATGGTTGTTCAATTTACAGTCCCACCAACAACACTGAGAGAGTGTTTACTTCTGCATATCATCCTTGGGTACTTTAAAATCTTTGCTAATCTGACAATGAACAAGTGTTTATCTTACTGTAGCTTGAATTTATTTTATTACTACCAAAGCTGAACATTTTTCACATTTATTAGCCATTTGATTTCTTCTTTAGGAACTGCACAATTTTTTACTAGATTATACAAGGAAGATTTATTTTTTAAAATGGGAAGTGGAGAATAATAAACTTAAACTATTGGTAATCCTTAATCATAGGTATTATTGTCAAAGTTATATGGTCCACAAGGAGAATTCTATTTTACTTCACATTCACCTGGTGAACACATCATTTGCTTAGAATCTAATTCTACGAGGTTTGTGTCATTTGGAGGGAGTAAACTGGTGAGTATGTGCTTCCCATGTCCTTGCTGATGAACAGAGATTCAGTATTATTCAAGCATGACACTGCATGCAGAATCATTATACTCAGATTGGTTAGAAACTTATTGAAGTCCTGTACCCAAGTCTCAGTGTAGCAACCAAAGAGGGAGCTGGAGAGCTTGGAAGGGGTTCAAAGGAGAGCCATGAACTTGATTAAAGTGTTTGAAAAAAATAAGAGCTGTGAGGAAAGGTTAAAAAAAAAACTGTGATTATTCAGGCTTGAAAACAAGTGAAGACTGAAAGATGAATTAACAATGAATTCTAATAAATAAAGTTTCTACACGGTAGATGGTGATTGGCTATTTTCTAAATGTGTTTAGAATAGATGAAGAGAATTTGTACTTCAGCATAAAAAACTTAGTTATGTGTAAAGAAAATTTTCCTGAGAGCATTAATCAAATTTTCTCAGCACTGTAAATGCTGTAAATCTGATGTTCAGGAATATACAAAATACTTTCAGGTCAGTAGGTTATCACTTAATGCATTACTATTAGAAGAAAGACTATTGAGTAGAATGAGAACTAGAGTGGTGGTAAGGGAAAAAAGAGAGATAAAGGATGAGGGAATGCCCCTTTCACGAAGAGGAGAAAAAGGAGAGAGGAAAGGGAGAACACATAAGAGAAAGTAAAGGAAAAAAGCAGAGCTGTTGTTAAAACACACTGTTTCTTGTATTAAGACTTTTATATTCTACTTTTAGAAAGATTCACTTGTACCTTCATAAGATAAACCATTATGTTAATCAGTTTGATGAAAATATTTCAAATTGTATATGAAAACACCACACTGTACCCCCATGATTGCATTAATGTACACAGCTATGATTTAATAAAAAAAAAACCCACACTGTTTCTTCTCTTTCTACTGTTTGTACAGCGGATCCACTTAGATATTCGTGTTGGAGAACATGACCTTGATGCAGCTATTGCTCAAGCAAAGGACAAAGTTAATGAAGTTACCTTCAAGCTTGAACATCTAATTGAACAAATTGAGCAAATAGTCAAAGAGCAAAACTACCAGAGGGTCAGTCTGCCTATTCAGCTTATTTCATCTCTTCCTGCCAGGAACACATTTCTCAATGCAAAGACCCTGGATCAAGGAAAGAATGATCTGTCTATCTCTTTTACCTAGAATTGTGGACTTGCAGAGAACCGGAAAAGAGCAATCTTTCTTCACTCTATCTGCTTGACCATGATAGAAAAAGGGACTGCAGCTCATTCACCTTTTTACCCCCTGTGCCTAGCAAAGTGCCCAGCAACAGAGAACAAGTTTACAAAATGAATAAATGGTTCTAAATGTACCCCATACATTTGTAAAGTATACTCACTTTCTAAATTATAATTCTGTCTAGTGCTCAGTGGATGCCAGTCCGACATGGGCTCTAATTTGCTCTACCACTCACTATCTTGTATTATCTTTAAGTATGAAAATTAGATAAGGCAATAAGTGCTTGGCATAAGGTAAGGACTCAGATGATGAAATCTATCACTATTGGGTAATGTTCATTTTGCCTCATGGTAGCAATAAAACGTATAAAGTAATGGATCATATGCCTGTTATTTACACCAAAATACAAAAACATCTTTTATAAGTTGATTTTTACTGTTTGGCTAAACAACAGATTCTGGCTTAGGAAACCAGGTACTGCACTTTGGCATTAAAATATATATGCATGTATCTACGTACATATATATATACACATACATATATATATGTGTATATATATATACATATTTATTTTTTAGGCAGGGTCTCACTTTGTTGCCTGGGCTAGAGTGCAATGGCGTCATTACTGAGCTCACTGAAACCTCAAACTCCCAGGCTCAAACGATCTTCCTGCCTTAGCCTCTCAAGCAGCTGGGACTACAAATGCCCGCCACCACACCCAGCTAATTTTTCTATTTTTTGTTGAGATGGAGTTTTGCTATGTTGCTCAGGCTGGTCTCCTGGCTCAAGTGATCCTCCCACCTCAGTCTCTCAAAGTACAAAAATTACACATGTGAGCCCACTGGGCCCAGCCTGTCATAAAATAATAGTTGGGCAATATTGAATAACTTGAATGCATACAGCAACCTTCCCTCAAAGTTATGAGTTAAGTACTTTATGAAACTAAACTTGTTTATTTCTCTTTTGCATAGGACCGTGAAGAAAATTTTCGAATGACCAGTGAAGATACAAATAGCAATGTTTTATGGTGGGCTTTTGCCCAAACATTAACCTTTATTTCAGTTGGAATTTTCCAAATGAAGTACCTTAAAGATTTCTTTATAGCTAAGAAGCTTGTTTAAAAAATTATCAATAAAAGCAAATAATCTGCATGATATAAATAAAAATATCTACATCAATGTGCATTACTTTTCTGATTTCAAAGTTATCAGAAGTTGGAATTAATGTTATAGCATTACAACATTGATAAAATGTTATCTTAACAATGTAGCTTCTGAATTTGATAGATGGTTATTCTTGTTTTAAATTTGGTATAGATCAGCACTGTTCAAGAGAAATAAAATGTGAGCTACACGTGTAATTTTATTTTTTGGCCTCCACAATAAAAAGCTCTCATAAGAGAAAAATTAACCCTATTGACATATATGTAACCCAAAATATCAAAAATATTATCATTTTAACACATGTAATCAATGTAAAGTTATCAAGATATTTTGCCTTTTCTTTCCATACTAAATCTTGGAAACCCCCGTTGTATCTTACACTCATAGCACATCCCATTTGGACCAGCCATACTTCAAGGGCGCAAGGGTCACACACAAGGCTGGCACATACAGTACTGCACAGAGCAAGTATCTGTTTTCCCTACTGCATCTGCTCAGCTACAGTCTCTCTCCTCTTCCCCATTTCTCTAAAAGACACTAACTTCTCTCCACACAAGTAAATGGTTCAGAAGCTTTCTCTGAATCACGTTTTCTCACTGAGTCCCCAGCAGACCTTGGAGGCTGTAAGACCCATAATCTGCACCTGGACGAAAACTCTGCTCTTCCAAGGCAAGGAGATCCAGCACCATGTGAGAAATGCAACTTTTATTAAAAGTAACTTTAATCTACTTTTAAATTTTTAATTTTGAGATAATTATAATCCCTCTAGAAATACTACAATCCCATCCCCCAGCTTCCCTCGTCCATTATTTTTAAAAGGGAAATAATCCGCTGGAGTCAAGCACTTTCACGTGCATGTCAGAGGCAAGCAGCGGCCTCGGCCCTGCCCTGTCCAATTCTGTCCCCTGGTCCAGTCTGTGGGCTCCAGTCCTCCGGTCCTGACCCTGTCGGGGCCACCAGCCTCACCTCCATCGTGGCGGCCACCCTCCCCCTGCCCCTCCGCTTCCTTCCCTGTGGGCTGAGGCCCAGCCCAGTTCCTGGTCCCCACTCCTGACCTCTGCCCCCCGCACCCCACAACCCCCTCCGCTCCCCCAGCCAGGCCTCCTGCCTAGGGCTACCCCTCACCCTGGTCCCGGACCCCCCAGGCCCCTGCTCCCCCGCCCTACCCAACCCCAGGACCCACCACCAGGCCCCTTTAGCCCCCAGGCCCATCGTGCTCCCAGCCCCCTCCGCGAGCCTCGCCTGTCCTCCAGCGTGTCCTTTACTCAGTGTCCTCGCACACAGTGGCTGCTCCAGAGCAGAACGCTGAGGGCTGCAAAGGCGACAGGAGGGACCACCAGACTCCAGCCAAATGAATCTGCTAGGGGAAAGCGCAGCCCAGCTGCCTATAGTCGACGGCGCCCACCCTGGGCTTAGCGGGAGCTGCACGGACGCTGGCGCCAGTGCGTAGGCGCGAAAACTGCCGTCGGATTGCGCAGGCGCACAGCCTCCCGCCCGGTTTCGCGCGTGGGCCTCGCCTAGACTTCCCTGGAGTAGGTCTGCGACGGCGGCAGCGCTAGCCAGGCCGGCATGGCCCCCTGGGTGTTCTGTAATCGCTGCTTCCAGCCTCCCCGCGGGACGTCGTGCTTCAGCCTGACCAACTGTGGGCATGTGTACTGCCACGCGTGCCTCGGCAAAGGTCAGCGGCCTCGCAGCCGGCCGAGGGGGAGGGGGAGGAGCGGAAGGCCTAGGGGAGCGGGCTGAGGAGGCGGCGGCCGGGGGTCGGGGGACAGAGGGCAGCTGCCTGCTGGTGCCCAGGGCAACTCACAAGAGGCAACTCACCTGGGCGATGGTGACCACCAGGGGCACTGGTCGACCCAGCGCCTCCCACCCCCCCACCACCCACCTCCCGCCCTGGCGCTGGCTGTGCCTTCCCTGTGCTGTGGGTCAGGTAGACACCACACCGGCCCCTTTAAGGAGATGCTGTGAGACAAAGGTACAGGGAGAGCGAAGCCAGAGCCAGAGGGGTATGAGAACCCCGGGGGCGGCGGGCCACAGCAGCAAGAGGACAAGGAGAGGCAGGTGCAGAGACTCCAGGGTGGAAGGGAGCTGGAGGCCTGAGGAGGGCAGAGGGTTCCAGAAAAGCCAGAGTACAGCCTGGAGAAGCATGCTGAAAGAGGGCCCCAGCCCTGTGCGGTGGCCATGCAAAGCCACTGGTTTTAAGCAGGGTAGTCACATGATCAGAGATGTATTTATTATTTTTAATCAAAACTTTTTGTTGAAATAAAGTTTGTCAGAAACACAAGCATAAAGCCAAATCATGATGAATTTTTGCAGAGGAACTTGCCTGTGAATCTACCTCTTAGGTTAAGAAACAGCACATCAACAGCCCCTTAGAAGCCCTGGCAAGGACTTAGCCATAGTGTAGTGCAGTGTAGAGTAGCCTCACTGGCCTAAGCCCATTCATGTAGATGCCTCAGACTGATCTGAACCTTAAGTAGATGGACTCATACAGCCTCAAGTTGTGTTCCATATCTCAATTGTGTTGTTCTGCATTATGTTTGCAGAGTTCATCTGGGTGTTCAAGTATGCCTGTGGTTTATCTGCTTTAATTGCTGTGTGGTGTTCTGTTTTATGGCTTACTTATCATTTCTACTGTTGAAGGGCCTTTGGGTTGTTTCCAGGTTTGTCTGTGGCAGTTAATGCTACTGTGAACATTCTTGCTCTTGTCTTTGGGTGAGCATAGGTACATATTTCTATTGAGTATGTAACTATGAGTAGAGTTGCTGAATTTCAGTTATATATTTAAAAGAAAAGTCTCTCTGGCACTGGATAAGTAAATTGGATAGAGCTTGGAACTGTAGAAGAGACGGGAGACTTCTCTTTGGGAAAAGTAGATTGAGCAGACTTGCGTCAAGGCAGAAAGCTAGGGAGCTGGACAGGTTTTCACTGCCTGGTGGAACACTGGAGAGAACAGCAGGAGGGGGACAGAGACTTAAGAGCTCACATTTGGACACTGATAGTGTCTCCTATGAGAGTTGTCTAGGGAGACCAGGCAGTTGTGTAAATATGGGTCTAGAAACCAAGAGGGCCAGGAATACTTTGGGGAGCCATCAACATGAATAATCCAAAATACTGAACTTTGATAAGCCCCCAAATGGAAGAAACTAGATAATACTATCACCTGGAAAATAGCATTTCCCAGTAAGGAAGTGAAGATAGAAGAAGAATATTGGGTAAAAAAGAAAGTACAAATGTAGATGGAACTACATGTCAGCAAAGTTAAAAAAGTGGTGTTTGAAGAAGGTGTTCACTGAACCAGTGAGAAGGTCACTGGTGACCTAGCGTGATGCTGTTATGATGATGATAATGCTGTTAGGAATGATGGAGACGCATGTGTATTCCTGGTGTTGGGAGGTGAAATGCCAAAGCTCAGTGTTATCACTTTTGAGGTCAGCAGTGCCCAGATTAAGGACTGGAGCAGGGGTAGATTCCCAAGTACTTCTAGCGCTTGAATCCTGAGGCCAACACAGGTTCCAGTGGCCCAAGCTCATTCCTACAAAAAGCTACAGATCCTGCATATTGGAGCCAGGGACACAAACACACACAAATGGTAAAAACGGATGGAGACTCCGGGAAGAGCCCTGAGTGTAGCTCCGTTGCTGTATGGTGATCTATTACTCAGAGATTTTTCATTCAGTACCTGATTTTTCATTCAGGTACTCTCACAGCCTTTTATTGGAGTAGTTCCTTTTAATTAACTTATAAGCACTATTTATATATCAAGTGTCAGCCCCTTTTGTCTGTCAATTAGCTACATATGATTTCTTCCGTTGTGTCTTTTAATCCTCTTCCTCCAACAGAAATTCTAGATGTTTATAAATCAGCTCTGTTAATATTTTACTGCCTATCTTCTGGCTATGATGGTGCATGAGAGGAATTTCCTCACTTCAAAATTTGTAGTCAAAGATAGCTAAGGGTGGGAACATAGTGTTGAAGGTAGATGTCTTTAGGATGGGGACAACTTAAACATTTTGTAAGAAGGGAGGAAAGACAATGCTGGAGACTGTTAGAAGAGGACCACTGTCCATAGCAGGGCACTGTTCTGTGTGCCAGTGTCTGGATATTGAGATGAGAGTGAATGCGCAGGCAAAGGCTTGGGCTGGAAGAAGTGACCCTTCAAAGCAGACAGGATGGACATAGAGCTAATCAGGTTACAGCTGGTGAGCCTGGAGGAGAGGGCAGGGGAACTAAGGTAGACCATCTGCAGCAGCTTCTTTTTCAGTAGATGATGTAAGGGGGCTTGTTTGGGTACCCCCCATAGGGCTTGGGGGGAAATATCCAAGAAAAGCAGGATTACCAAGCAGTGTTACAGACTCAGCAACATTGGAATCCACAAATCTGCGACTCTACCTCTTGGTGAAGAGATTTCTAGCCCCCACCCACCCCCACCCCAGTTCTTAGCTGCATTGGCCAAGCAGATGGGAGAAAGAAGTAGTTGAACTTATCTAGGTCTGGGCTAGGCATGCTCCCTGGAAGGACTGGAATGTGGAGGCTTCAATAGTGACTTGGCATTGGGCTCCAGCTGACTGGTGAAGAAATCAAGCCCAAGGGCAGGAGGAAATGCCTGGCTTCAGGTGAGGCCTTGCTGCTCCCAGAGTTGAAGGGCAGGAAAGAGCTCTACATTCTTACGATGGTGCAGTAAATGCTGTGGGGGCCCAGGGCATGGTTGTGGCAGCAGGAGCTGACATGAGCACATGGATGGTCACCAGGGAGAACCAGTGTGGAACTGTAAGACTAATTTTCTGGCCAGCCACGTGGAGGTCCAAGTTTTCCAAGGAGACGATTAGAAATTCATGTAGAGGAAGATGATAATAAAACCCTGGATCTAGAGCAGAGACCCTGGAAATTGGGCAGATGAATTAGTGGGATTCTAGCAGGCAGGACACATGTGCCTTTCATTCTTAGACCCTTGCAGTGGCTTACAGGTAGCAGGAGGTTGGTACAGTGTGTACCTAGTGACTGGAGGGTGGTCTGTCCTGGACATTAGCACATTGTGCAGTGCCACAGAGGTGAGAGTAGGAGAGACAGAACAGACCCTGGTTTGCAGGGTGTATTTTCATGTAGAATAGTTAATAGATTTTAGATTCAGATAGCACTATAGAACCTAATTGTAATATCTGGGATAGATATAACCTTAAGTATTATTGATCTTTATGGTTACTATTTGGGGGCATATTTGCAAAGCAGGAAAATAAAAAGGATATGAGTTGTAAAAATTCCAACTGTATCGATACCCACACCCTCATCATTTGTCTGAACATGAAGACATTTAAGTGCTATAATGCTATATATTTTCTGAAGAAGCATTGTAATTTAAATTGTACATTTATACATGTTTAAGAATATTAATATATAATAAAATCTGTTTTTGTCTTACAGGTAAAAAGGATGAATGCTTGATTTGTAAAGTTCCTTGTCTCACAGTTTTACTTTCAAAGCATGTAAGTTGAGATCTGTAGTATCTGAGTATTAATCATAGTTTTTTTTTTTTTTTTTTTTTTTTTTTAGACAGAGTCTCACTATGTCACCTTCAGTAGAGTGCCATGATGTCACAGCTCACAGCTGTGAGGAACTCTTGGGCTTAAGCTATTCTCTTGCCTCAGCCTCCCAAGTAGCTGGGACTACAGGTGCCTACCACAACGCCCAGCTATTTTTTGTTGTTGTTGTAGTTGTCATTATTGTTTGGCAGGCCCAGGCCAAGTTCGAACTCACCAGTCCCGGTGTTTGTGGCTGAGGTGCCAAACCCATACTATTTTCTTTTAAATTTGAAATTTAATAGTCATTTGTGGTATCTAAAACTTTTATTTTTCTAGGTGAACTGGTTCTTCTAAGATTGCTGAGTAATCAAAGTACAGTTTAGGATTTGGTTTATAAAATCTCAATACAACTTCTCAGATTAACCTTACTGATAGTTTGTTGAATTAGCCTGCTTTCCTGGAAATGAAAATGGCTTAAGTAGGTTTCTCCGAACAATACAAGCCTCTGAAGAGGATGGTATTTTAAGAGGGGTCAAATGTAATTAAGAGGGTTGTTCATACGATAAGTTTAAAAGTAAATTTCTCCTTGATAGGCTTAAAACAATGCCTTTTGTTCTATCTAAAAAATACATCAGTTTAACTTGTTTTTGGTACATATGTATGCATATACTTAGTTACAAATGATTACATTTGGTCTGATGTTTAAAATATCATAATTTAAAAACTAAAATATAATTTTTTTCTGGTTGCAAATATAGTACACAGTTATGCAGAATTCAAATGCAGAAAATCATATGATGAATGTGTAAGTCCCCAAGTCCTTTTTCCCAATGATGATGATAACCAGGAGTTTGGTGCCTATTCTGTATATGTTGCTGTGATTTATCTTTTTACAAAATCCTGTTTTCTCAGTTGAAACTGTATTTAGGGCACACTTAAAATGACTGCCTAATATTTTAGTATTTTCCTATGGGTACACCTTTGGATTATTTCAGTTTTTCACTATTTTATTTTATTTTGTTTTTTTGAGACAGTGTCTCACTATGCTGCCCTCAGTAGAGTGCCATGGTGTCACAGCTCATAGCAGCCTCAAACTCTTGGGCTTAAGTGATTCTCTTGCCTCAGCCTCCCAAGTAGCTGGGACTATAGGCACCCACCACAATACCCGGCTATTTTTTTGTTATAGTTGTCATTGTTGTTTAGTAGGCCTGGGCTAGGTTCGAACCTGCCAGCCCCTGAGTATGTGGCCAGTGGCCTAACCACTGAGCCACAGGTATCAAGCCAGTTTTTCACTATTTTAAACCGTCTTTTATACTAAACAGTTTTTACCAATATTACTTCACACTTCTAAGAATATTTCTGTGGCATAAACTCCTAAAGTGAAAAAACAAGGGCAAAAGATTCAAAAGTTTACACTTTTATATTTTTAAATTATTTTTATTAAATCAAATGTTCAAACTTTTTTTTTTTTAAATCTTTGTTTTTGTTTTATTTTTGCAGTTTTTGGCTGGGGCAGGGTTTGAACCCGCCACCTCTGGTATATGGGGCCAGCACCCTACTCCGATGAGCCACAGGCACCGCCCATGTTTAAACTTTTAATAGAAAATCTTTGTTTTCCTCTGAAGCTGTGTCAGTGTAGATCTCAGTGGCAGAGCTTGTCTCTGCTCCTGCTCTGCTATGTCATGCTGAGGCCATTACATGGTCAGGTAGGAGGGTGGTGAGCAGGGGCCCCTCAGCCTTCCCTAGCTTCTTGAGTTGAATATTTAAGTCATGTATTTTCTTTCTTGTTTCCTAATAAATGTGTTTGAGACAAGGCATTTCCTTTTGTGAAGTGCTGTTCTGTATCACTTTGAGTACTGCTTTTCTCTATCATTTCTAAATAATCTGTAACCTTTTTTATTTCCTTTTTGTCTCAGGAATTATTTGAAAGAATATTTTTTAATTTTTAAGTGCTTGGAATTTAGCTCCACTGTCATTTTTACAGTTCATTTTTAGGTTTATGGCACTGTGACCAGAGGATGTCTGTATAGTTTTGTTATTTTTTTAATAATCAAGATTTTCATTGTGGTTTAATACATGGTAATTGTTTTCTATTCTGCTTAAAATGAGGGTATAATTGACTAGGTTACATTGTTTACATTTCTTAGGTAAAGTTCAAGTTGTAGTTGAGCCCTTCACACAGGGGTGTGCAGTATACACTTACCTTGTGCGCATTAGGTGACAGCTCACCGATCCTCTTCCCTCTCTACCTCCCCCTCCTTGAATATACTTGTGTTTTTCTCTCATGTGGATGTGTTAGTTTTTCTGTTAGATTCATATTAGTATTGAGTACATTGGATACTTGCTTTTTCATTCTTATGATACTTTACTAAGGAGAACATGCTTCAATGTACTTAAACTTTTTTTTTTTTGAGACAGAGCTTTACTTTGTCACCCTTGTCAGAGTGCCAAGGATGGCGTCATAGCTTATAGCAACCTCAAACTCTTGGGCTCAAGTGATCCTCTTGCCTCAGCCACCCAAGTAGCTGGGACTATAGGTGCCTGCCACAATTTCTGGCTACTTTTTTTTAGAGATGGGGTCTCTCTCTCTGGCTCAGGCTGGTCTCAAACTCCTGAGCTCAGGCAGTCCACCCATGTTGGGCTCCCAGAGTGCTAGGATTACTAGTGTGAGCCACCATGCCCAGCCTAAGTCTCCATCTTTTTATGGCTGAATAATATTCCACGGTATACATATACCACAGTTTATTAATCCATTCATGGGTTGATAGGCATTTGGATTGTTTTCACATCTTGACAATTGTGAATTGAGCTGCAATAAACATTTGCACAGTTGGCCTGGGAAAAAAATTTATGAAGAAGACCCCCTTGGCAATAGCAGCAACACCAAAAATAGATAAATGGGACATGATCAAGCTAAAAAGCTTCTGAACTGCTAAGGGTACAATAACTAACGCAAACAGCCTTCAGAATGGTAATCGTTAATTGTAATTGGTAATATTAATGTTCACTGGGTGTTAGGAAAAAAAGTGTATTCTTTTGTCCTCTGCATGTGAGTGTGGGTATTAGTGCATGAAGTGGTTAGAATGTCAAAAAGTTCCTCTTCTCTTGCTCTCCTGCCACACTCTGACCCGTCAGCTGACCCTGGAGGTCCTCCTGTCCAAATCTGTGCCTGCCTTTCCCATTCTCCATAAGCTGCTGATTCCTGTTCTTGCTCTGGCTTCCTGGAGTCTGTTCTCTATCCTGTAGCCAGGGGGATGTGTGCAGTTGGATCCATGCCTTCATGTGTCCCAACTTCCCAGGAGTAAACCCCAAAGTCCCCTTAAACCAGCGACTCTGTGACCTGGCCTCTGATAGTCTTCTGATCCCCAGACAGGTGACCTTTGCCTGCTGCCTTCTCCTAGCTAGGTGCTTCCACTTCAGTGGTTGGCCTCTCCTGTTTCCTCTGACTGGAATGTTTTCTTGGACAGCCACAGGCTCTGTGCCCACCGGCTTCAGGTCTCTGGGGAATGTCATGTCCTTGGGAGACTGTCCACAGTGGCTCTGTGTAAGGTCTTTGTGCCCTTCAATAGAAGGACCCTCTATTATGGCGCAGTGTGTGTGCACAGCAAGAAACAAGCCATGCAGAACCCTGTCATCCTCACAAGCACTCTCTGGTATTTCCGCCCCTGTCTCTTTTCTCTCCTTAAAGCAAAGCACATAAGCTGACTTCCCCAACCTGCGTGGTGACAGACATCACCATGCAAAAGTGTCCTCTCTGCTGTCCCTTCATAGCACATACCACTGCCTGACATGTATTTATGTATACATTTGTTTGTTGTTCAGGTGAGCTTTCACCATTAAACCCACAAAATAGGGTTCCACTATAGCGGTCAGGGGTAGATGGCAAGGGAGCAGGGTAGGCTGGAGCCAGTGCTGAGCATAGAATGCACTGGGTCCCAGAGATTCCTCTGGGGCAGACAGGGGCACCAACCACCTTGTCTGCTTGCTCCCCAGGAGGAAGAGTTTAGGCCAGAATTGGCATCTGAACATTACAGGTGGGAGTTTCAGATTGTGGATATCAAGCCTTCCAGTGTGGAAGAGCCAGTGGAGGGGATTACAATAGCAGAATTTAATGCAAATGGTGGTAACATGTGCACAGAGCAGTAGTGAAGGGACTTCCAGGCCTGGCACCTGGCCTCAGTGACAGGCATGCTGTTCTGTTTGAGGAACCTGAAGGTCCCAGTATTGGCATTTTTCCCCAAAAAATTATCTCTTCTGTTTCCAATGTAAAATTCAGCTATGGAGGTTGATAAATGACTAGAGACTATTTGTCAGTCAAAATTTGGAATTTATCCATGGAGAACATGCCTGCGGAGACATACCAGGTGTGTGGACACCTCAGAAATACACTTTCTCTATAGTGTGAAAGTGCCTGTGTGTTTGACGAATTTGATGATGTTGAGCTGGCTCTGACAATGTCATGGTGACTGGATCTTAGAATAATTTCTTCAGAAAGTCTAACAGGGATGGAAAGGTAGGCATGACCCTAGAGCATCACAGAAAACAACAAGCCTCACGTGGCTCTGAAACCACAGGTCCTCCAGCCACAGCAGAAGAAACCAAGTAAGTGGTGATAGCCGAGACTTCATCAAGAAAACCCTCCATGCAGTATAAGTGGAGTCACTTTCTCTCTTTCAGACTGACTCAGATATTCAGTCCTTCTTTGTGGGTATCGATGGTCTGTGCAGAAAGTACTCCAGAGAGACTGCTCAGGTGAGTTGGAGGTCTCAGGTAGCCCAGGAACACTGTCTCTAAGAGATTCCACATACATTTTATGCATTCTGAGGGCCTGTCCCTTCGAAGATACGTGATCAGCAAATATTTTCTGCTAGGATATAGCAGATCCTCCATAGCTGCCCACCTCCCTACACTGATCACCTCCTCCAGCTGACCTAATCCTAACAGCCTGCACATGCAGCACATGGATGTGTCAGCACAGCAGGCCTGATTCTTCATGCTGACCCCCCCCCCACCTTGTGCTGATCAGCTTGCCACAGTCCTTTGGGTGGTCACTTACAGAGAGGTTCTACTGTATTTCTGTGGGTTGTCTTTTCATTTCTTGATGGTGAAACATTTACAGTACAAAAGCTTTCTGTTTTGGCAATGTCCTTTTGGTCTGTTTTATCATTTGTGCTTTTGGTGTCATGTTGAGACATAAATGATCTCAGCTCAGTTCTGGGTCCTTTGGGCAGGATGCTCTCCCTCCCATATTCACAGTTAGATGTACGTTGAATTTGGGGTTTAGAAGCCCTCCCCAAGTCAGGGCTCTCTGGATCCTTATCTGACAGGGCCATCCCACCCCAGGCCTGTAAACCCTGCCATGCCCTGTGGTATTAGGCTGCACAGCCCCCCATATGCTCACTCCCTCTCTTCCCATGTCCTTGTATAGCGCCATGCTGTGCCTCTGCAGCCTTTGTACCCTTCCTTGCTTCCAGCTTCTAATGCCACTCAGTATCCTCTCTGATCCTGCATCCTCTCCTCCCAGGACATCATGGGACAGCCTCCAGCCCACTGGTCTGCAGGGGAAGCTATCCAGCAGAGGAGATGTTCTCCATTGTCCCAGCCTGCCTCCCTTTTCATCTTCTGTTAATGTTGCTGCTCCCAGCATTGGCCATCTCCTACCTGCTCTGGAGACAAGGCCAGGCAGGGGATAGCTGGGAACTGCCCCAAGCTGAGGTGGAGGCTGAGGACGGACCCAGCATATTTTTCTTGCCCATGAAGTGGGTGATCTGTAGGGTGAATGCTGTTTAAGTCCCAGTTTGGCCTTGTCTTCTGGCCGTTCACTGACTGGTGATAGGAATTAGCCTAAAGCGGTGATAGTTTAGTATTCCAATGGGTGGGTGCCATTGTCTGAAACCTATGAAATAGCCCTGTGTTCTCCAAGTTGATCACAGACCTCTATTTTCTCACTCACATTGGTGCTCCCAGAAACTCGCTTCAGGCTGTATACACAACAGTGTGCAGTCTGAGGAGCATGTGATGGGAAGGCCAGGGATGGGGCTGGCTTCAGGCATGGCTGGCTCTGGGAGTTTGACGAGGCCACCAGGCAGTTGGTATCTGCCAGCTCTGCCCATCATGCGTGGCTTTGCCCTCTGCATTCCCCACCCACAGGCCCACATGTCAGTTTCAGGATGCTCTCTGGCAGCACTGTTTGGTCAGGAGACTAGTCCTGAGATGTCAGCAGCTGAACCCTCTTATCTTCTCAGATTTCAGAATTTCAAGAAAAACACAGAAAGAGATTGTTAGCCTTCTACAGAGAAAAGGTAAATCAAATTATTGCCTCCTGAATTTTTTGACCTTTCAATTTATATATCAGATTTGTCAAGTTAAAACACCTTGCTCTTAAAGATAGTGGGGAAACTAGACTTGGAATTATTTATCTTTGCTTGACCAGCTGTGGGGACTTGTTCACTGGCCTCTCTGCCAGTTCACAGTGCCCAGAACCTGCCTGTGCTTCTCCTGATCATTGCCCACCCAGACACCCACTGCCATGTCACTGGCTGGGCTGCATGGGGCCTTGGGGTCCTGGATGTGGCTGGAAGCTTCTCTGCTCAACTATCTTGTTTTCTTTCTTTTTTCTTTTTTTTTTGAGACAGTTTCACTCTGTCGCCCTTGGTAGAGTGCTGTGGCATCGCAGCTCACAGCAACCTTCAACTCTTGGGCTTAAGCGATTCTCTTGTCTCAGCCTCCCAAGTAGCTGGGACTACAGGTGCCTGCCACAATGCCTGGCTGTTTTTGTTGCAGTTGCCACTGACATTTTAGCTGGCCAGGGCTGGGTTCGAACCCGCCACCCGCAGTATATGGGGCCAGTGCCCTACCCACTGAGCCACAGGCACCACCCTATCTTGTTTTCTAATAAAAGTCCTTTTTAAAATAACTTTGAAGGTTTTGCAATAAGTAAAATAAATAAGCCAATGTTAAAGCCTCTAAATGCTGGCTGGCATTCCTCCCAAGTGTCCAGAAGCCCTGGGCCCTGCAGCTGCAGGAGGCTAGAGAGCCAGCAGACTTCTGTGCACAGCCCCACCAAGGAGACCATCACCCCTGTCACTCCAACCCCCTCTAAACACCACCACCCATTCTACCAGAAACCCCCTCCACTGACCCACTCACACCTGCCCAACACCCCGCACACCTGACACAATTCACACCTGCCCGACACCCCCACACCTGACACAACCACCCGATACCTAACACAAACACACCTGCCTAACACCCCCCACACCTGACACATTCTCACCCAACACTCCCCACACTACTCCCCCAAGTCCTGCCCAAGGTTTTCCAGCAGGTGCCAAGCCTTCGGTAAGCGTTTGGTGTATGTTCTTGTCCCACCAGCAAACCTCAAGGCTGGGTAGCATTAACCACATTTAACACTACCCTAGGACAGGAGAATCTGCATTAATATACCCAGGTCTGGCAGCCACTATGTGCCAGGGCCAGGGCACCACATGACACAACCCTGGAGACCATGCTTGTGGAGCTGCTGAGTGTGCAGGATGCTACATCTTAGCTTTTGATGCCAGAGCACTCCCTGAAGCCCAGCTGACACTCCTCCAGGCTTCTGTCCACCTGCCTGGACTGAAGATGTCTCCTGGGCTGGGCTGACTTAGCTCTGCACTAATGGTCCCAGTGCCAGTTTCCCAGGTACCCAGCACAGATTTGCTTATAAATAGTGTGAGGGCAGCTTCCATGTAGAGTAACTCACATTTTGTTTCTGGTCTAAGAAATTTAAAGGATCAAAATATCTTTGAACTATCACTTGGCATAACCTGTTTGATAACAAGAAGCCATTTAATTATGTTTAGATTTCTAAGTTGGAGGAGTCCCTCAGAAGGTCAGTGTTGCAGATAGAGCAGCTGCAGAGGTAAGTCCCTCAAGCACACAGACAGGGCCCCAGCCATCACTGTACAGAAGTCGTCTGCCCTCTGAGCTCTGGAAGGGAGAGGGCTGTGGGTGCAACTTTGGTCATTACCCAGGGAACAGAGGAGGGAGCATTTTCATGTGTCAAAGCAGAAATGCTGTGGGAAGCCAAAGGGAAGATCAGGGAGATAAGAAAGACAGTGGAAAGGCAGATGGTCCCCTGGAGGAGGAACCCTAACTGGTCCCAGGGCAGTGGGAAAGCACAGAGGGTGGCTCACCATAGGCCTCTGAGGGTGACCCCTGCAGCCTGGTAGCTCCTTTCTGCCAGGATCATAGCTGTTTATGAAAGATGGGTAAACAAGGCATGTTCTGTTTATAAAGGCTTTGCAGGGGATGATAGGTGTGTTTCAGAAGGACACATCCAGTTACTAGAATTAACCAGAAACAGTGAAAGTGTTGCATGTCTGTATCTGGAAAATCCAGTCATTTAAAGTTCTCATTTCTTCTCCATTTATAGTGTCCTTGCCACATGGCATCTGTTCTGAAGGAACTGTTTGCATTTAATGTCCCTGGAATTTGGAATCAGTGACATGACATGACATGTTCAGTTAGCACAGTGGCACCTCGATGCCATGCATCTTACCTCCAGTGGTGCCTTAGATTTTGGGAGACCCAGCTCAGTTCCTGCTGAATGCTATGACATGTTGGATCATTGTTAGGTCCCTGTGTGGTGGCTGCACACTGATTTGAATGTTGAGGAGCTGATGGCCTGTGGGTCTCTTGTCCCCCATTGGCAGTGTGTTCAGATGGGAGCCACCCTGTGTGCACATGGATGCTGAGCCAGGGCCACACAACAAGGGAACTGGAGTGCCCGTTACATTCCACTCCTCCCCTGTACCAGGCTCCGCTCTGCCTGTCTGGGGTGAAAAGGACCTCTGTCAGCTGTCATTATTTTGGATTATAAGAGTTACCCCAGGTACATTCCAGGGGTCAGCAAACTCTAGGCTGTGTCCAGCCCCAAGTGCATTTTTGTACATCCCTCCAGCTGACAGCAGCACATTTTTAAAGGATTATGAAGGCATTGCACTTAGACAGGCACTCAGCTTGTTCAGCTCACTCTGAATTGCCAAAGCCCAAACAAGTGGAGGACATAAGGTGCCCAATGAAGAGCTCTGCGTGAGTGGCTGACCACGGGTGAGCAAGCTGGGTCCCCTGAGGGGCTCCTGCCTCCAGTGCCTCTGCCTGTCACATAGTGAAACCGCTTCCTGCACTCACTAGCTACCCTTTACAGAAATGTTGCAGACCTGCTTTAAATTTAGTATCACAAAAGGACAGACAGGTCCTTACTGTGCATCAAGGGATCACTTTTTTCTGCTTGGTGTGTAATCTGTTTTCTTTCTATGGACATAAGTGTCTTCTTATTTCTGTGAAATTCCTAACTATCACCTTTCCAAATCTTGCCTCCATCTGGTCCCCGCCACAGCTGTTGCCTCTGCCATCTGGGTCTTGGGACCTCCTGTATGATGTGTCTTCTTAGGTCTCCTGGGCGTGCCCTGGGCTCCTTCTTCCTCTCCCTGACTCCTGATCAGTACTGCAGCTACTTCTCTACTGAGTTGTTATTCTGTCCTACTTAACATTTCTAGAACATTTCTGCTCTTTTTTTTTTGGTGACAGTCTCCCTGTTACCCTGAGTAGAGCAACATGGTGTCTCTACAGCTAACAGCAGCCTCAAACTCCTGGCCTCAATCCTCCTACTTCAGCTTCCCAAGTAGCTGAGACTATAGGTGCCTACCACTACACCCAGCTATTTTTAGAGACAAAGTCTTGCTCTGGCTGGTCTTGAATCTGTAAGCTCAGACATTCCACCTGCCTAGACGTCCCAGAGAGTGAGGATTACAGGTGTGAGCCACCATGCCCGGCCTTGTCCTGCTCATTCTCACTATTTGGAAAATAGAATTTGCTCATTGCTGTGTCTGCATCTTTTATGTGGACACTTCATAGCTGCCTATTTGTTTTCCCTGCCTGATGTCCTCAGGAATCCACCTCTACCTCCTTGGCCTCTGCTGTCACTCTTTCTGATGTGGTTAATGGTCTCTGGTGAGGCTGGTGAGCCTACCCCACTCTGTATCCTTGGCACCCGTGTGCTGTCCTCCAGAGAGGACTGCCAGCCAGACCCCACCTACTCCAGCCCCTGCTGAGGAGTGTTGTAGCACAGCACTCCCAGTGGTGGCAGCAGGTTCCTCTCTTTTGTCTTGGACAGAGGGTTTGGAGACTCACCTTCCTCCAAGCCCCAGACATAAGGAAATGCTGTTGGAGGCACGCCGAAGCAGGAGCGCTTTCAGGGGAGACTCCAGAGTCAAGCTATTTTACCCGCCGTGGTCAGCCACTCATGCAGAACTTCATCAGGCACCTCATGTGGTCTCCATGTTCTGGGGTCTGGCGAAGTGCCTGTCCTCACTTTGGGGGTGGAGAGGTAGAAATGGACTGGGGCAAATGACTGGTGTGGGAGCGAGGGTTTAGGCTTCCTAGCCCACCAGTCAGCACAGATGGGCGCTTAGGGCGTCGTCCACATGCTGCATGTGTCTGGGGAAAGGGGCCTGCTGCACTTCCACACATGTATCTGTGTAACTGGAAGGGGCAGGGCTTTGATAGAAGAAAAAAATGACCAAGTAACTTGTCCATAGTTCTCTTGCTGGCCTTTAAAAATTAATGTGGGCTGGGCATGATTACTCACACCTGTAATCCCAGCACTATGGGAGGCCAAGGCAAGAGGATCACTTGAGCTTCTGTGTTCAAGACCAGCTTGAACAAGAGCGAGGCCCCATCTCTACTAAAAATAGAAATAACTACCCAGGCATGGTGGCGAGTACCTGTAGTCCCAGCTATTTGGGAGGCTGAGGTGGGAGGATCTTTTGAGCCCAGGAATCTTGAGATTGCTGTGAACTGTGGTGACACCACATTGCTCTACCCAGGATGACAGGGTGGAACTCTTGTCTCAAACAAAACAAAACTGATGGTGGTAGCTCCTGTTGTCATGTCTCAACTTGGTACCTTTGACACCTGCCACTCACTGCTATCCAGTAACAGTTGGAGTTTCGAGAGCCAGTTGCTTAAATGGTGATGAGTGTGGCTCTCATTTTTGCTCCAGGGGTTAGGAACCTGGGGCCAATTGGACTAATAGAGCACTTTGGAGAATGTCACATTTCACGCAAAGTACCCTTTTGCAATCCCATCAGAATACTTAGCTGATTCAGAGCTGCCTTACATTTTCAATTGGAATGATAGTGGTAGGTATATGTTTATAGTTTAATTCAATACCTTTTCTCTGTTTAGCATGAGATCATCACAACAGGGAGCTTTCAGCACAATAAAAAATTCAGTTTCAAGTAAGTAAAATGATGCCAGAAAGGGGAGTTTGGAGACATTGGGTCCCACCAGACATGCCCTGGTGCTAAGGTACCCTTCTCCACTCTTTCAGCAAAGCCGCCTGTTCACCTGCTGCAGCCACTTCGCTTGTCAGCCCCCGACAGGTGCGTGGGGTGGGGTCACGTGGAGCCTGCAAGAGACAGGGCCTGTCTGCACTGCTCATCTGTCCCACCCCTCAAGTACCAAACACTGCAGCCCCTAGTGCTGGGCAGGGAGCTAGATATCCAACTTGCACTGGTACTTGCTTTGTGTCCCAAATCTGGTATGTGACCAGCTGATTACTCAGCCCATTCCAGCCCCTTGGCTACAGGGATGAGTTTGTGAAATGATCACGTGACATGGTATCTGCAGAGCTAACTTGGGAGTCCAGTGCCAGAGTGACAGGCAGCCCTGGCTGTGTGTGAAAGGGCTCATCCCAGCCCCATAGGGGATCTTGCTTACACCAGAGGGTGTCCTTGTGGCTCTCACTGACCCATGTCCAGTTGTGCCTGTCAGATGAGCTCTGGTGCTAGGAGCCCAGCCTTATGTCTGCATCAGTGTCCTGGGGGAATCTGACCTGGGGCAGCCCTTGGTTCTATGCATGGAAGGTGCGATTTCAATGCACATCACAGGGGGAAACAAGTTCAAAGATTTATCACCTATAGATCCTGGCTGGAAGGACACCATGAGATGAGGAAGGTCATGGGGAAGCTGATGTGCAGGGTCAGGCAGAGAGAGGTCTTCTGGGCTAGCACCTTTTCAGGTTCTAGGGCATTATCTAGGTAGGCTTCCCATGGGATATTTACAGCAGGCAGGTGAAGTCACACATGTCCTGCCTTAACTGAGTGGTAGTCATGGTGGTGGGTCTGCACAGGTGTTCTGCAGGTGTGGGGGCCGCAAGTCCAGTCTAGTAGGTGGTATCTGGCTGTCACACAGGGGTGTGGTCACCAGAAAGAGGGTATAGAGGGCAAGTGTCTGGGTCAGCCACATTGAGAACTGGGGGTGGTGCAGAGCTGGGGACCATCAATGACAGAGCCTGGTACTGGTGTCAGAGAGGTGAACGTGGGATCAGGATGGGTCCTCAGGCAACATAGAGGTGTAAGAATTCAGTACAGCCAGGCTGGACAATGAGCACTATGGCCGGGATTCCTGTTGGCACTCTTTCCTCTGAGGCCACCAGCTGTAAGGATGGCAAGGCTAAGGGAAGGGCCATCTGGAAGACGAGTCCAAATGGTGTTTCCCCAGTGTTCTTTGGGCTGAGGAAGGGTGTGATGTGTGGGCCGGCAGTGAGCACTAGGTACAGAAGATACTCCTTGCTCAGGAGATCTCAGTACAGCAGGCTCTGGGCAGGCACTGTGGGGGCAGAGGAGTATGCAGAGCTGTGGATGGGTGTGGCCACAGATGGAGTGAGAGAGAACTTGCCAGGGCCCAGCAAGTGCCTGTGTTCTGAGACTCGGTTGACAGACATGAATGTAAAGAGCAGTGACAATGACCAGGTCTGTGATTGACTGAGCTCTGATGGCATCACAAAACTAGAGAAAGATTTAGACATGTGTATGGTATGTGTCTGTGTGTGATTAATGCATTTCATGATGTTTCAACAGAGTGGAGGCAATGGAAGTTGATCTCACTCCTTCCCCGGTGAGAAAAGTAAGTCCATCTGTGTTGCTGCTTCCCCTGGTGCCAGATACCTGGTGCTTCCAGTCTTCCTCAGCACCAGTGAGCATTACCACCCCCAGCCATAGGCGGCTCATCACCACATGCTGGCCCCAGGGTGAGCATGTGAGGTTGTAGAGGGACTGTCACAGACTCTGGCATTCAGCCTGAGGCAGAAGTTGGAGCTGAAGGAAAGAAAGCAGGTGGGGATGGCAGCAGGGTCCCACACTGGTCCTGAGTTATTCCTGTGTTGTTCCCATGCTGGGCCCATGTTGGTCCTGTGTTGTTCCTGTGTTGATGTTGGGTAATCCCATGTTATTCCCATGTTGGCCCTGCTAGTCCTGGACTAGTTCCACATTGTTCCCATGTTGGCACCTGCTGATACCAGGCTGGTGTCAGGAGGTGGCAGTAGGGCTGGTGGCCCTGTGCTTTACCTGACTTCATCTGCAGTCCTAAGAAGTGACACTGACAAAGCTAAAGAAAAAAGCAATTAAGTCCTACAGCCCAGGAAAAGAAGTGCCAGAAATTTGAAGGACTCTGAAAAACAGAAAACAGCTTCAAATTAGAGAGAGACAAGCCCAGAGGAAACCTGGCTGAAACTGAGGTAGACTCCAAGAGTGGCTGCTATCCCTGGCCCAGCACAGCAGCAGTAGAGCTTAGATGCAAGCAGGAAAGGAGCTGGGAGGTTGCACTACAGCTGGGATGGGCAAGCGGGGGTGGGTCAGGGACACCTGATTGGCACATGGTTACCTACTTGTATGAGTTACTTGATGCACATGTTGCCAAGGCTGTGTCACCTGTGCCACTTGCTTGCATACACTGTTCTGAGCACTGCGAACGGGACTTCTGTCTCCCAGTGGCCTGTGAGGTGGACTCTGCCCTGCAGACTTGCTCTTGAGTAGCAATGCTTGTCTCAGGGGAGCCCCTGGAACCAGACTGGAGGGACCTGGAATCCAGGGCAAGAAGGTGGACTTTAGTAGGAAGAGCCCAGGAAGCTGTGGCAAAGGAGAAACCCCAGTTCCTTTGCAGATGATTAGAGCAGGAGTGCCTTGTGCCTGCCCTGCCTGCCTCCCCTGCACTTGCCACCCACACCTGCCCACTGACTCTGTGCTTCAGACTTGCAGACGGGCCACACACTGCGTGGGTGCACCTCCCCAGGTAAAGGTCCACCAAGAGCCTGGATGTCTGCTTCTGTCTGTCCCTTGGCACTCATGGTCTCCAAGTCTCAGGTCAGTTTCCCAGTCTTCCACAGCCCTCCAGTGGTCGATGTGGATGGGAACGCTTAGAACTGACAGGCTCAGTTGGCTCATGCCTCCTGGGATGTTGTGCTGCAGATTGTAGCTGAAGGACCAGAAAGCAACACATCAAAATCCAAAGAGAGGTGCTGGACCAGGCAGGGCCACCCTCTTCTGTAAAGGGCCAAACAGTGAATGATTTGAAGTTTGCAGACCAGACAGTCTCTGTGGCAGCCACTCTGCTCTGCATTGAATTGTAGAAGTCACCATCAACAGTGTGGAGGTCAACAGTCATGGCTATGTTCCAGTAAAATGTTATTAACCAAAACAGGCCATGGGCCATAGTTTGCCAATCCCCATGCTACATCAGAAGCAAATTGTTAAGGAAAATAATTTAAAACTAGTGTACCTCCTAAAATTCCTCACTCTCTTAAAGTGGATGTGTGTATAGGCTTCTTTTAGAGAACTCTGCTTTGTACTCCCCAAGTGGGGTAGTGTGAGAGCAGTTCCTAGTAAACCCAGACTGAGCAGGAGTTTTAGGAGACTACTCAGATGCCTGCATGGGCTGGGGTCTTATTCTCTGGCCTGCAGAGAACAGTGTAGGCCTCTCTCCAGCTGGACGTCCCATACCCACTCAGGGCCCCCAAGAAGGAGTGTCATCTAGGCTATTTCTAGTGGTGTTCCTGCCCCCACAGGTTCATCAGAGCAGAGGGCCACAGCTCAGTCTCATCAGGGTGGACTCGACTAGAGGTCAGTGCAGCTGCTGGATGAGAAGGGGCCATGCCTCCTGTGAGGGCACCTGACACTGCCTGAGCCAACCTGGCCAGACCTGTCCCTTCTCTCCTCCTTCCTTATGGGCAAGGCCTGTGGTCCTGGAGCTACTGCTAATGGGACAAGGGGAGGGTAGAGCCCAGGGCCTCCTGGAGGGACATTGTACCTTCCCATGGAGAGGGGCATCAGCTGAGGTATCAGACGTGGCCAGGTGATTTTAGGCTGACTTGAATGAGCACAGCACTTTCCACTGGGTGCGGTTTACCAGTATTCATGGAGCTTTTTTTTTTTTTTGCAATTTTTGGCCATGGCTGAGTTTGAACCCGCCACCTCTGGTATACGGGGCCAGCGCCTTACTCCTTTGAGCCACAGGCACTGCCCCCATGGAGCTTTTTTTTAAAGGTAAAACTATGACTCACAAACATAAACCTCTCACATAAGCTTTTTTATTGATAATATTTCCTTGCTATTTAAAAAATATTTTATTGATACAAAATATTTTAACATATTTCTGGCATCCATGTGAATGCTTGCTACATGCATAGACTGTGCAATGGTCATGTCAAGGTATCTGGGATGGCCCTCACCTTGAGTGTTCATCATTTCTGTGTTGGTATCGTTTCAAATTTACATACCTTAACTCATTTGCTGATGAGGGAAACCAGTAAAATGTGAAAACAAGTTTGAAGGAGAATCCAAACAGCCAGGATTATGGGCAGCCAGGCCTGTGCACATGTGGCTGGTGGAGGCACAGCCTCCCCATGTGGCAGGACCCGTGTCTGCACCTCTCCTGTGAAGTCCACCATAGCCACAGGCCTGAAAACACAGGCACCAGCATCTTCTGTAGCTCATAGCTAGGCAAAGGAAGACACAGGTCCCATTGGATCTTTTACACTTTTTTCTGACATCAGGAACATCCGGAGCCTTATCAGAGTTTATTTTGTGGCAAGAAAACCCTCTACTGGGTGAGGTTTAAATAGGCCAAAGGGGACAAGGTGGCCCATTTTGATTGCATTTCCTGGCCCGAGCCCACACATGGTACCTGTAACACAGCTGGTCAGGTACTGGTGTGACATGGAGTTAGGTGGAGAAGAACTCAGGTTGTTCTCCCACTGTCTGTATGGAGATGCCTGGGAGGGAGGTTGGGAAAGGCCTGCAGTGGCCCTTTGGGTGGTCTGCTGTCTTAAAGGGGTGTGGGCATTGTTGTTTGACATCCTATGAATTCCACTTGTGTAGACATACTCCCCAGACAGGCAGCCTGACATTTTGGGACACCTCTCTGAGGCTTCTTAGCTGTCTGGCAATGTTCTCAGAACCATCCAGGCTGGGTCTGGACCTGCTCTGTGCCTGGCCTGGTCTAGATTGTCAGGATCTGAGTGTGGTTCGTGCAGCCGCTGACCTCCTCGTTCTAGCTGGCAGCTCCCAGTTGCTCCCCAGGCCTGGCAGTCTTGTCCCAGGAAGCCAGGAGAGCATGAAGTGCACAGGTGCCCTCCTAGCCCCTCCCAGTACTTGGCCTCAGCCACAGGCCAGAAGCCTGGGCACTCAGTCTCTTAAGATTCGTTTTGCTCGGCTCGGCGCCTATAGCTCAACCGGCTAAGGCGCCAGCCACGTACACCTAAGGTGACGGGTTCGAATCCCCAGCCCGGACCCGCCAAACAACAAT